GATGTTACAAAGCTGGCGCATGTTCCGTTGCAAGCTACCATCTGAGGTTCGGCTGAAGACAATCAGCGATATGCCTCCTAGAGATGATATGTCACTCAAAGAACCAAACGCGATGGGATCTATGAGAGAACAACGCACCAGTATTGTGCCGAATGAGCCCATACAAACTGTAGAAGATGATAGTGACCAGACACCTTACACTGTACGTCGCAGATCAGATACGGGACTAACTACAAGGATGATGAATAAAATGTTAAACCCTTCACCACGCACACATCGAAAAAACGATTAGCCGCCGGCTACTCACTGGTCGGCGAAACTTCACATATGAGTTGCAGAACCTCCGAAACATTGCTTAAATCTACGAAACTTTCATGTATGTACACTAACGCCCAAGGGCTCCTCAGTAAAATTACCGAACTTCGACTACGTCAGGTTGCGAATGCGTGGGACCTAATTTCTATTACCGAAACTTGGTTACACCAAGAGGTGACTGATGCTGAGGTTGAGATAGCCAGGATGCCACTCATCCGGAACGACCGCCCCAGCAGAGGAGGTGGGGTCCTACTCTACTACCGCAGCGATCTACAATGTACAACCGTTGACGATCTGGAAGCACACGTTACTGACTCACTCTGGTGCCGTCTCCGACTGAGACACAACGACACGTGTCTAGTAGCTGTCGTTTACCGCCCCCCAACGTCCACTCCGGAAATGGATTCCTGCTTGATCCGTGGCCTCAACAGAGTAACACGCACTAGGTATAGCCACATTCTCATCTCCGGGGACTTCAATCTACACAATCTGGAGGTTTCGGCATCGCCCAGTGAGCAGTTCAAAGCAGACTTGCAGGAACTGATCGCTAATATTCCTTTGTACAATCATGTCACCACGCCCACTAGATTCAGGACAGCAAACAAACCGTCCATACTGGACCTTGTGCTCACGAATGAAGAGCTCATGGTTGACAAGTTATTGATGGATAGTCCATTAGGGCTCAGTGACCATGTAGTAATAACTTTTGACTATGTGTGTTATGCAGAGTATCCTTCTGAACACTCGGAACTAACTCATACAATCACACGCTACCACGTATTGAAAGAACTCGCCGACGCAACTGCTTGGGAATTCTCAAACAAAAGTCCCCTTGACAACGTTTGGGCAGAGTTCGTTAATAAACTCAGCGACGTCGTCAACAGAGCATCAGAGACCAAACCCCTTCGTCCCGAGAAAATGCCTTCAATTATAAGGAGTAGGACTCGAAAATGCCTGGCGATAAGGGATACAGCATGGCATGCCTACAAGATTAACCCCGACTCAGAGAATTGGGAAAATTTCCTGACCCATCGCAACCATTGCACTGCACTTGTCCGTGAGGACAAAGTAACTTATCAACAGAGCCTAGCCAAAAAATTCATGGCAAACAACAAACTGCTATATAGGCATGTCAATAAGCTTCGTAAAGTGAAGCATGGAATCCCCCCACTATTCACGACAGGCCGTAGAGTACAAAGCGCCGAAGAAGCAGCTAATGCCCTGCGGCTTCAATACGCCCCAATCTTCGAACTCGCAACATCTACCTGTCCCATAATATCAAGCACATTACCGACACCTTTGTTTACAAATGTTATTTTCAACCCATCAATTGTGCTAAGGAAGTTACTCTCACTGCGTGAGCATAGTTCTCCAGGAGCAGACAACATCCGCCCGAAGGCACTGAAGGCTGTGGCCAACAAACTATCTGAACCACTGTCACAGTTCTTTCAAAGGTGCTTTGATGAACAACAAGTCCCCACTATGTGGAAGTGTGGCATTATCACCCCAATTTTTAAAGACGGTAGCCGTTCCGATCCTGCAACCTATCGTCCAGTGACTCTCCTCCCTGTGCTCGCGAAGGTGATGGAAGCAGTCGTCGCTGACACTTTAATGGACTACCTAGAAAAATGCAACATTTTGGTACCGGAACAGCATGGCTTCCGTCAACACCGGTCATGCACTACCAACCTACTTATTGCACGAGGTAGTTGGACGGAAGTGGCCGATGATGGGGTCGGAGTCGACGTCATCTATCTGGACTTCTCCAAAGCTTTCGACCGCCTTGATCACCGCATCCTACTTCAAAGACTACAGAGTTACGGAATCGGTGATCCTGTACTTGGTTGGATTGGCAACTTCCTTTACCAACGAAAGCTTCAAGTACGTGTTAGGGGATCACTCTCTAACCCAATTGAGGTGGAATGTGGTGTCCCACAAGGCTCAGTGCTGGGACCGCGTTTATTCCTGGTGTTTATCAACGACCTGGCAAGAGTCATCTCCTCAAATTTCCTGCTTTTCGCCGATGATGTCAAGATATGGCGGGCGATTGGTAACAAGTCCGATCAGGATCTGCTCCAACATGACTTAGATCGCATTTACGAATGGTCAAAGAGGAACAAGCTTCAATTGAACATAGCTAAGTGCAAAGTGATGCATCTGCGTCACCAGCCGGTGAGCGCTTACAAGATTGGAGACCACATTTTGGCGAACGTTTCTCAGGAGCGTGACCTGGGTGTATTGGTGCAGGAAGATCTCGGGTGTTCAAAACAAGCAGAGAAGGCGACGAGAACCGGCAATCAACACTTCGGCCTTCTTCGCAGAGCCTTCGGTCGGTTTGAACCCTCAATCTTTCCCCAAATGCTTAACGCCTACGTGCGACCTCACGTGGAATATGCTATTCAGGTGTGGCAGCCGTGGCAGAAACAGGATCTCGTTGCTCTCGAGACTCCTCAACGACGGGCAACCAAGAATGTCAGGGGCCTCTTTCATCTCCCCTATCAGCTTAGACTGAAATCTCTAAGAATGTACAGCAGTCGATATCGGCTTTTGCGGGGGGATCTCATAATGGTTTACCAGATTCTGAAGAACCCAAACCACATTTGCCGTCCGCTGCTGGAATTGAACCACAACACTAAGCTAGGAGGTCACTCTTTGAAACTGACAATTCAGTATAGCCGGCTTGATAGCCGTAGAAATTTATTTTCCCTCTGTGTCTGCCAGCCTTGGAACGCCCTCCCTAATTTTGTCGTCTCTGCTCCAAATCTTACAATATTTAAAAAAAGGATTGACGATGAATTTTCTCACTTACATCTCATTTTATGACTTGTTAGCCAGGGGCTACAAAAAGCAATCAAACGGTGTATTGCAAAACGCCTAACCAATGGATTTATAGTTTCATACGTTTAATGCGCGAACGTCTCCGCTATTCCGCATAAGTCTATGGTGAGTCCACCACAACGCTTTTCCCTTCATCATGCAATTGATTTTCACAATAATTTTCCATCCTACGGGACTTGTTAAGCAACGCTTTTTACCCGTAATAAACCATTGTTCCATTGTTCCATTCAACCCAACTGGCCCGAAGCCTATCTTTAAAGGGCTTATTGAGACAGAGATCCAATGGGTGCAAGGTTGATGTAAATCCACCGGGAATTAAAGCCACGGACGACTTCAGCTCACGGCATCGTTCCTCTGCGTTCTTAGTTCGGTGTGCCCTAAAGGAATCCCAAACTAGCATAGATGGTTTCTTTAAAAGGGTACCGCTTCGCTTTCCCCAAACTGTATTCAGCCAGTCTATAGTGCCGCTCTCGTCCATCCATCCTTTCGCTTGAGCTTGCACAAACACGCCGCTTGGGAACTTCGCTCCTTTAGGCAGCGTCTTACGCTTAAAAATAACGAAAGGTGATAGACGGGAAACTATCGGCCATACATCCTAAAACAATCGTGGACCGTGTCTTCTCGTGTTTCATCGTCTTTACAAAACTGTGTTAGCACCTATCTGCTCTACCGTTCGATTCAAAGGCATATCAAAGCACACGAGCGTCTCGTCCATATTTCCTATTTGGGACGGTTCAACGTGGTATTGATTCTTCAGATGAATCACGAACCATTGAAAAGATCCAACTTTACTCTCCAATTCCTTCAGCAGTTTCTGGGCTAGTTTTGTGCGGGTCCGTAGACACATCTCAAATCGGTTCGTAAAACGATTGCACCAACCGTAGGAAGCAACGAATTTCACCGGTTTTGATGGCTAAAATTCCGGACTTTTTAACATTGTGAGCGCCCTGATCGCCCTTTTCGTTCGGGTAACAATTAACCCGCTGTGCTGTGACTCCATAACCCACTTTACTAACTTTTCCTCCAGTGCAGGAAACATGGTTTCTCTACCGTGTGCTGTTCTCTTGCCTACAGTCATTAGTGACAATGCTGACTTTTCCTTTCATCATTCTCTCGCTTTTCATTCACCGTGAAATTGGGTGCAGCTATACAATCATTAGATTGCTCGACAAAGGCGATAACTTTCAATGTAAAGCCAGCAGTATATGCACATCGATTATGTCCAGACATTTTTCCCGTTTCCAAGGTTTTGGAAGATCGCACGAAATGTGGGCACATTCCCTTTCAGCTGGATCTTGTGACGTCGCGTTAGCGTTACTTTGGTTAGCGAGTCACAGGGCTTATACATTATACTATGCTACTCAGTCTAGTGCAGTAAAAGCACAACGGCGTCCCACACCACTGATCGTGAACTGACCTCACAGCCGCTGCTCTGCTGCGATTCAGATGCATGAGACCTCCGACTATGCGAGGCGGTGGCTGACATTACCTTACCTCATCTTGTCGACTGTCTTACCTGTTTCTTGTGACTTGACATCTAATCAATACATTATTCAGTGCGATTAAAATCTTTGTTCTGAAGGCTCTACGCCCCATTAACTGCCATCCTAACACATTAGATCGCAAACACTGACCAATAGTAGAGCAGCTTTCGCTTGAGTACACTCAACTGAGAGCAGGTAGTGATGAAGTCAAAATCGTGAGAAACAATTTCGTTTCTCCTTTTGCTGATACTTGAACGATGACACCTCACTGAAACGCCCATTGGGACCTGTGGTCCCATTTTTAGGGCCATGCCGATAGAGGCGTGTCTCTCTTTGTAGGGAACAAACATTTTGTGTTTATTTGCTTATTTAGTTAAAATCAGTCACATTAGCCGTAAATAACATTTCATCATGTCGCTCAAGAGTCATCCGTATTTATTAAGTGTTGAGGGACTTGACTGCAATAGCGCAGCCTATTTACCCGCGCAATGCAAACAGAAAAATTAGGCATACGGATCTCAGGGATGTTAAACTTGGGCTGGTCAAACTATCGGTTTTCGCCGGAATACAGGGGGGCAATTTTTCAACAGTAGTCATTGCTGGGACACTTGACAAACCCTTTGATCCCATTTTGGCGGCTAAGCGAACATCCTCGTCTTCCTTTGTAGCCCGCACACAGCGAATCTGCGGCACAGGTTGGATAAGGGGAAATTTGTTTCCAATCAGACCCTCCATGTGCACGGCTGAATACACGTTGATACAGTTGACAAACATCACCTCTTCTCCTCCGGCAATGTTGGCCAAACAACAGTGGACACCAAGACAACTACTTTTATCCTGAAATAAACAACATTGGAGAACAGTAAAGGTCTTCAATCGGGAGCGCATATCAAGTAGAGAATGTTGACGTCTGAGGCAACATTTACTAAGGGCAGCATCTGACGGTAGACTGTGAGGCAAGTCGGTAGTCTGCACGTTGCTTTAGCTTAATGTGCGGCTAACACAACGTGTTCGCTTATTAGGACGATCAATCCATGAAGAGTGAGCGAAAAAAATTCAGGCAGTAAATCCAATACTTAAGAGCAACAATTGTTATACACTTATCTAGCATCTCTTGAGCCGGATTATTAAGAGTAATTTGTTGTGAACGAATAGGTGATTGAATGGCTTGGTGAATGAAGTAACTTGGGTGTCCTGCTTCAAGATGACTTGGGTTGCTCCAGGCAATCCGATAAGGCCTCGAAGACCGGGAACCAACACGTCGGGCTGTTGCGACGGGCGTTTGGACAAATAAACAGCTCCATGTTTCGACAAATGCTCAGTGCGTATGTTCGCCCCCATGTCGAATACGCAATTCAAACCCGACGTCTATGGCTGAAACACAACCTTAATGCACTGGAGCGGCCACAACATCAGGCATCTAAGAACGTAATTGGAATGTACAATCTTTCATTCCAGGAGAGGCTGCAACGATTGGGGGTATTCAGTGGAAGCTATCGCAGACTACGTGGCGACCGGATTATAGCATACTTCATTCTGCGAAACCCATATCATGTGTGCCGCCCTTTACTGCAACTCAGCAGCAATACAAACCTGAGGAGCCACTCACTGAAACTCGCTGTAAAGTATAACCGTCTGGAGTGCCGCAGAAATTTCTTCCACTTACACTGTCAGTTAGCACTACGTCTCCATTCTACACCTAGAGTTTATCATGGAATTATTTGATGCTTACTGTGGGTGCTGTGAATCTAAGCGGATCGCAGTACTACAGCGGAGCAAACGATAAGTCCCTATTTTCATATTTAAAGTACTAACTGTTTTACTATCATTATTATCATTATTGTTATAGCGATATCCCCACCAACTATCCAACGGGACTTGTAAAGCAACACTTCGTAACCCGTACAAATTCTTTGTTCATTGATTTTACGGGTGAATAGCCAACTTATTGCGTGGATGAGTGGATGATTGTCTGTGTGGATGTATAAAGGAGGCAGCGAATAAATATGGAAAAGAACAATCCAACCGATGAACTAAATAGCTGGCTAGCCGAACAACCTCCTCGTGGTGCCAGCTGGGTGACCTGGGTTTAACCCGTTCCAGCAAATAGTTCGGCGGCAGTGTTCCAGGACGTGGTGGGTTTTCGCCCGGTAAGCATTCTCCCTATAAAAAGCCACAAATGTCTGCTTATCAACACTGTGACGTGGCGGATGTGAATCGGCACAAAATAAAGTCAGTGGACCGTGGACATCCGGAAAATGGTATCCAACTCACGGACATCAATCGCTTATTCTCACATTCCTACCGATAACAAACAGTCAAAAATTCTGCGGCACATTCAAAAATACAAGGTACATTCATAGACAATTACATACATATATACACCCATACACTTACATTCACTGTTATGCCAAACGTATACTCTTTGTACATTTTGATCACACTATGTTAGCTAAACATGATCATGCCTGTACTGGTGTGCCTCGCATTGTTGAGAATAAATTTTATTTATTTATTTATTTATTTATTTATTTATTTATAAATGGTGGGTGAATGAATGACGGATTGAGTGATTTAACGAATGGGTGAGACTGAATGAATGAAAGGGTGTGTGAAAAATGAGCGAATTGCTGAATGAATGAACGAGCAATGGAATGAATTAATCAGTAAATGCGTAGATAAATCAGTCCTTGGTTAGGTCAAGGTGTGAATCGTTAAGTGAGATGGTAAGTGAAAGAGTACTAGTAAAGATGTATGTCTGTAAAGCCTCCATGTGGGTACGAACGGAGCCTGCATTATGTCAGCAGCAGGATAGTCTATGAGCTTCCAGTTCCTGCTGAACCATTATCGTTTCGCCTCGCTTACTGATGCAAAAGTGGGCTGGAAGCTTGACACCACAGTTTCATGAGGACAACCGAGTCGTGGACCTTTATGAAAATGCCCAGTTGTGTGTAAGTGTACGGTGATGACTGCACACTCTAGCGCTGCTACCAGCGACCCAAAGTCAAAAGAATAAAGGAAGCATAGGGATTGGATGGGCGTTGTATGCATCCACGCTGGCCTCTCACCAGTCGAATACAACCGTGATCTTTATGACCGCATCGAGGCTTTCTCTGTATAGTTAGTGACACCAAAGTATGTGCTGAAAAACGCTTGCTAAACTTTCAGCAGCCACCAGCTTGTGATGGAAGTCTAACATTGCTCACTCCGGGTGCATCCAGCCTTCATGCAAAGTTAAATGCTTATGTGATAACCGCTGCGGCCCGTGGTGTAGAAGGTTGTGATATAACTACGTTTATGCCACAGGGTCCAATCTTTGAGATTCATATGGTCGGGCAACTCCGGAGGAAAACGATAATGTGTGTTATGCATACGAAGCTACATGAGCAGTGTACAGGTAAAAAAAGTAGCTGGATGGGAGCAACTCGGCTCTCCCTGTATACAGAAACGGTGGCCCTGATTCACATAATGCGTTGGCAGTAGGCGAGCTGGTTTACACAGCACCTGCGTGTCTATTTATACGGAAGACGCTTACACCGCTAACCATCCGCAATCAACTAACGTACCGACTAAATCTCTCAAGTGCTTTCGTGTCAACAGTTATGGCAGCCCACTCTCATTGAAGTTACTATTCGCTATTCCAGATTTAAGCCGAAGCGCAGCAAAATTCACTCAAGGACCAGAGCGTGAAAGACGAAGTCTACCTTTACCGGACGCTTAATGGACCACCCAGAAATTAACTGATTTCTGATTGGTTCAGCGGAGCTAGACGCCACGGTGCGCGTCCCCAAGTTGCGGATGGGCGAATGCTTTCCTGGTGAAAGTAACTGTGAATAAGTCTCAGATCTTCTCGGGAGAGATGAATGAGCAGTTGCGGACAATCAACGGCAGCGTCCTAGAGCATAGGAAGTTATAGGCTGGTTATCTTGTTCCTCATTAAATACCACACAAGCTGGTAAGACGCTGTGTCAAAGCCAATGTGACCGGCTCTAGGGTCACTGACCACTCACTTTTGCGACCAGAAATGAGTTCTGTACGAACGGCGGATTGACTACCCCGATGGTCACCGGCTTCTATGGAGGCGGATGTACTATTCGGCTGTCAATGGCCTTCGTACTTGGTGGCAACATCGGTTGCCAAGGCAATCCTGGCCCCGGTGCTTCACGTATACTTTCTGGGCGCCCTGACTAACCTCTTTCTACTCGAAAACCTTGTTATCTTCACCTAGATAGCCGGCTCCTAAAGGTTACGGTATACGTCAATCGCCCGCAATCTTGCGGGTTAGGTCTTTTATAACCGAAGCCCCCTGTTGGGGTCCCCCATGTTAACCCTCTTCCTCGACCTGGGCAGCCTGGAAGCACTATGTCCACACAACCTATGGATCCATGTTTTAACAATCCTTCGCTCGCTCTCGCTGCTCTCACTTACCGTAACTGCTCTCCTCGGCCGATGTGCTGGCGGCTGAAGCTACCAAAGCACGTTTTATCGCACCACCGCGTAACCACGTTATTCCACGTTTGTTCACCCCCATTCTTGGTCTTCCCCCTCCGTTTCCGAACCCACAACATCGTGCCTCCTTGGGTGAGTGTTCTCGCCATACGGATCAGGAGCTTAGGACCGAGGGTGTGCCAAATGGTGTTGGCAAGCATTTACTAGCACCCAGTTCCCAATTCTAGCTAGCAACCTTCTATGTTTGGACGCTGATACAGACCGGATCGCGGGCAGCCCTCGCTCGCACTCAAGAAACTACGGCCGTTGATGACTGCTGCCTCAGTGAGACTCGTTTAAAAGGCTCTAGCCCGACGCTACGACAGGTTTCACTGTCTGCGAGTTCTACTGGCATTTTCACATTAAGCTTTTCTGGAGACTCCACCGCCGAAATCGCTGGTCACGCTCGCCTGGGGTTTGTATTGAGCACACGTGCCGAGGCCGCTTTACCATACTGGTTTCCTGCCAACAGTCGACTCTGCGTGATTCGACTTCATACCACAGTGCGGCTGTCCAGGTGCGTAGCCAGCAGACGGGGTTTGTTCATTGTCACAGCGTACGCTCCCACAGACTGCAGTCCGGAGTCAGTTAAGGACGAGTTCTACTGTCAACTGACCGATCTTCTCCGTAAAAATCTCCGTACTGATATCGTGGTGCTCGAAGGGGACTTGAATGCGCAAGTCGGTAGACTTGAAGTTGACGAACGTGAACTCGTTGGTCAACACTGCCATAGCATTCGCAGAACTGAAAACAGTGCTCACCTATTTCAACTTTGCGTCGATCATGGCCATTTTATGTCGGGCACTAGCTTTCATGATCGTAGCGCCAACGTGCCATCTGGAGACAGCATCAGCCGTGGAGATAAATTGACCATATCAGCAACAGTTATCGTTGGCGAAATTGTATACGGCATTGAAAATCAATATGGAGTACCTATCACACTTCGGGTCAGGTGCTGGTGTGTGCCAAGTTCGTGCTACGTTTTGGTGGTTCCCAGCGACGTAGCCAAAAACGGCTTGGCATGGCTTAGCTTTCTGTCCCGAACGTTCTCCACGCATTTCAGAATGATTTGGTCTCAAGGCTGAAGGCTGTTTCATGCACAGACATTGAAGTACACTGGACACATCCGCGGAGCCATGTCCAACTCTACAAGCCTGGTCTTTGACTCCACCAGTAGTCGCCTTAACCACTGGTTCTCTGCGAGCTCTCTACAACCTCTCGAAACCTTTCGAGTAATTCCAGCTGGCGTTAAACATCATTCACTGCGCAGAACTACCAGCGCTGTGCTCAAATAGCTTCCCCCAAAAAATCACGAGGTCTGGGAGCCGCAGTGAATCATTGAGATGGAG